TTCACGATATTTATCTAATATATAACATAATTATTTAAATTTATAAATGCATTGTTTACCATTTAATTTACTGAAATTCATGATTATAAAAAATTATTTATTAATCCAAGCATTTAAAATAAAATTTCAATTTTATGAAGATTCTGTTTTATTATATTGCATAAAGCCAACTATTGGTATCAAAGGTAAGCTTTGAGTTTAAATTGTGAGGATATTGTGTAAAAAAAAATTAAATTAATTTCAGAGTTAGAATAAGCTCTTAGCCTGAAAGTTTTTGATTTCATAAAAAGGTTTATCAAAGTTATAAGTAATCTTTTTGTAAAGTGATTTGCTTTTATGATTGTAGTTCCATCGGTGAGTCATTAATAATCAATAATTTCATTTTATTATTCATTAATAGTTTTGTCATTTTATCAATAGTTTTATTAATCAAGTTTATTAGCATTAACTCTACCCTAATACTTGTCAGGATTTTGACATTGTTAGGAAAGATTGTTTAGGATCTGCATGTATTCAATTTCTTATATGCTTCTAGCGGTTATAAGCATATTTTTTATACATATTTCAATTGTTATTTAAAATACAAAATGTGATAGTAATTATAAATGAATTGTGACTATATATAGGAATTTTTATAAAAAAAAATTATGCTCGAAGTTGTAATAAAGTTAATAATTATATGAAGCTTATAAAAACTTAAAAACATTTAATAGGTGCAAAGTAACCATAGATGCGTTTTATAATAAATGTTCATTTTTTATCTTTGTAAGTTTTACTTCAGCTTTCATTTTCCAATTTTTAATTATGTTGATTTTTTCCATGCCTAGTTTCGCCGCGTTTCGCCAGTTTAGGCATTTCGCCTTTCTCAATTTTTTTTTTGCAAACCTAGATTTTGTCTAACAATTATAATTAATATAACTCATTGTATTTAATAAAGGCATTATATTCAACAACAATTTTCTGCTTACCGTATCCAAGACAGCAATGATTGCCTCATCAAAAACGGTTTTCAAACCCTTTTGTGTTAAAGCTGAACACTCAACATACTTAATTGCTCCTAATTCGCGAAAGAGTCTTTCTCCTTGCATTGAAGTTATGGGTCTCATTTTTTGTCGTGATAGTCCTTCAACCACAAATGGATCACTCCGCAACTCTATTTGAGTACCAACAATCAGGCATGGAATTTCTGGACAATGATGATGAATCTCTGAGAACCATTTTTCTTTGACATTTTGGAAAGAAGCTGGCGAGGTTACAGAAAAACAGACCAAAATTACATCTGCTTTAAAATATGAGAAAGGACGAAGGCGATCATAACCTTCTTGACCTATTAACCATTTTACCACAAAAATAATTATACAATACATAATAGTATTGAAGTATGTTATCAAAATAAATTATTTTAAAATAAGAAGTAATATTTTGAATATTTGCAAGTATATATTACCAGTCATATCAGAAAGATATAGACTATATGATTTGTCACCAATCATTACTGTAACTGCATAATTGTCAAAAACCTGTATGGATATTCACACTCAATAAGATTATATTAAATTATATTTTATAGCTATTCGAAATACTTACTCTAGGAATATATCCTTCAGGAAATTTGCCAGTTGTGTAAGTAATCAGAAGTTCAGTCTACAGCATAAAAAATTATAACTAAATAATTAAAATAGAAATTATAAGGAATGAACATGTAAAATATTTTCTACGTACTTTGCCAACTTCATAATCACCAGTAACAACACACTTGATTTTTTGCATGTTATAAATTATCGTTATTGTTATCGTCATGCAATATAGAGATATTTGGAACGTAGCGAAACGGAGTGTATGATTTATTGTCCGGAACGTAACAAAGGACACTTTATATGTATTATTTTTTTGAATTATATGATTTAAGATATCTGTCTCGATTAGGGTTATAATTTTGTGTATGTTTCAAATTTTGTTATATAAGTTAGAATATAATTAACAAAGTTTGCCCAACCTTAGTCTCAATGGGCTCAACAAGGAATATGATTTGTCGAGTACATTATGTGATCAAACTATTGCACGTAACCGATAATGATCTACGTATGTTTGTATCATCATTAAGGTGCCATTTTACCTTCCGTATTTGTACGTAATGTTTAATTTTTGTCTTTAGTACGTACGCACGTACGTACGTAGTATTATGTATTATGCATTACGTATTAGTGGCTTGATTCACGTGAATTCCATAAGTCGCATACCAGTTGATACGTAGAATAGGTTTAATCAGAATTAGTGGCGTAGATGCTATAATCTTAGCGTTAACGCTATAATAAATTAGAATGTACTGTATATGAAGTTAGTATGCTTTCGCCCTTAGTTCACCCATCCAATGAATGTTCCCTAAAATAAAGAATGCATAAACTATTCTTTTCTATAATAAATACCTAATAAACTAGGGTTAGTTTTGAGACTGCACAGTGTGATTTTTAAAATTCTGGCGTAATTCTAGTCGGCTTGCATAATGCTGTAGGCTGTGTAGTGGATTCAAAAAACGTTGATTCTCACTTTCCCGAAAAACTATTTACCCGACATCACATAGGGTTAGGGTTAGCATTTGTTAGTTGTATATATATATTTTTAGCCAATTGTCACCTGCGTGATATCGGGTAAGTGATATGTCGGGGAAATAGCTTTCGGGAAATCGTACCATAACCTTCAAAAAATACTCGATCTGCTCATCCATACTAATAACCATAAAGTACGAGTTCCCTATTTTATCATCAAGTTCATGCACCTTCATTTTGTGACATTCAAAATTTGATTAGCTAATAGAAAACGAGTCCCAAATAAAAAATATTTCAGATATAATAATGGTTAAATTATAAATAATGATTAATTTTTGACACTTGAATCCAGATAGTCATTGTTAATTACGTGTCTTGTTAAACGTAACCGACAAAGTGATGCATATAACAATTGATTAGCTATTATATACATATAGTAGATACTCGTCATTAACAAATCGCTTGCTAATTAGTACATACAGAGACACCTCTTGAAATACACCCACCTCATGATCATAGTAAAATCTCAAATAATGTGCACTTGATGAGCATACATTTATAGAGAATAAAACATATAAGTAAAACTTCCATAAGTGCATCCTCCATAAATACACACCCTTTTTAAATGAACACTCAAATTATCGCCTAAATATATACATGACCTCTATAAATACACTTGTTCTTATTGTTCTCTGAGTGCACGTTGACAAAATTTTGTCTCCAAAAAATCTGAGAGCAGACTATATCGTGCACTTAAAAAGATTTTACATAAAGAGAGCACTTAGTGAAGTCTCTGTATGTACTAATTAGCAAGCGATTTGTTAATGACGAGTATCTACTATATGTATATAATAGCTAATCAATTGTTATATGCATCACTTTGTCGGTTACGTTTAACAAGACACGTAATTAACAATGACTATCTGGATTCAAGTGTCAAAAATTAATCATTATTTATAATTTAACCATTATTATATCTGAAATATTTTTTATTTGGGACTCGTTTTCTATTAGCTAATCAAATTTTGAATGTCACAAAATGAAGGTGCATGAACTTGATGATAAAATAGGGAACTCGTACTTTATGGTTATTAGTATGGATGAGCAGATCGAGTATTTTTTGAAGGTTATGGTACGATTTCCCGAAAGCTATTTCCCCGACATATCACTTACCCGATATCACGCAGGTGACAATTGGCTAAAAATATATATATACAACTAACAAATGCTAACCCTAACCCTATGTGATGTCGGGTAAATAGTTTTTCGGGAAAGTGAGAATCAACGTTTTTTGAATCCACTACACAGCCTACAGCATTATGCAAGCCGACTAGAATTACGCCAGAATTTTAAAAATCACACTGTGCAGTCTCAAAACTAACCCTAGTTTATTAGGTATTTATTATAGAAAAGAATAGTTTATGCATTCTTTATTTTAGGGAACATTCATTGGATGGGTGAACTAAGGGCGAAAGCATACTAACTTCATATACAGTACATTCTAATTTATTATAGCGTTAACGCTAAGATTATAGCATCTACGCCACTAATTCTGATTAAACCTATTCTACGTATCAACTGGTATGCGACTTATGGAATTCACGTGAATCAAGCCACTAATACGTAATGCATAATACATAATACTACGTACGTACGTGCGTACGTACTAAAGACAAAAATTAAACATTACGTACAAATACGGAAGGTAAAATGGCACCTTAATGATGATACAAACATACGTAGATCATTATCGGTTACGTGCAATAGTTTGATCACATAATGTACTCGACAAATCATATTCCTTGTTGAGCCCATTGAGACTAAGGTTGGGCAAACTTTGTTAATTATATTCTAACTTATATAACAAAATTTGAAACATACACAAAATTATAACCCTAATCGAGACAGATATCTTAAATCATATAATTCAAAAAAATAATACATATAAAGTGTCCTTTGTTACGTTCCGGACAATAAATCATACACTCCGTTTCGCTACGTTCCAAATATCTCTATATTGCATGACGATAACAATAACGATAATTTATAACATGCAAAAAATCAAGTGTGTTGTTACTGGTGATTATGAAGTTGGCAAAGTACGTAGAAAATATTTTACATGTTCATTCCTTATAATTTCTATTTTAATTATTTAGTTATAATTTTTTATGCTGTAGACTGAACTTCTGATTACTTACACAACTGGCAAATTTCCTGAAGGATATATTCCTAGAGTAAGTATTTCGAATAGCTATAAAATATAATTTAATATAATCTTATTGAGTGTGAATATCCATACAGGTTTTTGACAATTATGCAGTTACAGTAATGATTGGTGACAAATCATATAGTCTATATCTTTCTGATATGACTGGTAATATATACTTGCAAATATTCAAAATATTACTTCTTATTTTAAAATAATTTATTTTGATAACATACTTCAATACTATTATGTATTGTATAATTATTTTTGTGGTAAAATGGTTAATAGGTCAAGAAGGTTATGATCGCCTTCGTCCTTTCTCATATTTTAAAGCAGATGTAATTTTGGTCTGTTTTTCTGTAACCTCGCCAGCTTCTTTCCAAAATGTCAAAGAAAAATGGTTCTCAGAGATTCATCATCATTGTCCAGAAATTCCATGCCTGATTGTTGGTACTCAAATAGAGTTGCGGAGTGATCCATTTGTGGTTGAAGGACTATCACGACAAAAAATGAGACCCATAACTTCAATGCAAGGAGAAAGACTCTTTCGCGAATTAGGAGCAATTAAGTATGTTGAGTGTTCAGCTTTAACACAAAAGGGTTTGAAAACCGTTTTTGATGAGGCAATCATTGCTGTCTTGGATACGGTAAGCAGAAAATTGTTGTTGAATATAATGCCTTTATTAAATACAATGAGTTATATTAATTATAATTGTTAGACAAAATCTAGGTTTGCAAAAAAAAAATTGAGAAAGGCGAAATGCCTAAACTGGCGAAACGCGGCGAAACTAGGCATGGAAAAAATCAACATAATTAAAAATTGGAAAATGAAAGCTGAAGTAAAACTTACAAAGATAAAAAATGAACATTTATTATAAAACGCATCTATGGTTACTTTGCACCTATTAAATGTTTTTAAGTTTTTATAAGCTTCATATAATTATTAACTTTATTACAACTTCGAGCATAATTTTTTTTTATAAAAATTCCTATATATAGTCACAATTCATTTATAATTACTATCACATTTTGTATTTTAAATAACAATTGAAATATGTATAAAAAATATGCTTATAACCGCTAGAAGCATATAAGAAATTGAATACATGCAGATCCTAAACAATCTTTCCTAACAATGTCAAAATCCTGACAAGTATTAGGGTAGAGTTAATGCTAATAAACTTGATTAATAAAACTATTGATAAAATGACAAAACTATTAATGAATAATAAAATGAAATTATTGATTATTAATGACTCACCGATGGAACTACAATCATAAAAGCAAATCACTTTACAAAAAGATTACTTATAACTTTGATAAACCTTTTTATGAAATCAAAAACTTTCAGGCTAAGAGCTTATTCTAACTCTGAAATTAATTTAATTTTTTTTTACACAATATCCTCACAATTTAAACTCAAAGCTTACCTTTGATACCAATAGTTGGCTTTATGCAATATAATAAAACAGAATCTTCATAAAATTGAAATTTTATTTTAAATGCTTGGATTAATAAATAATTTTTTATAATCATGAATTTCAGTAAATTAAATGGTAAACAATGCATTTATAAATTTAAATAATTATGTTATATATTAGATAAATATCGTGAATTCGAATAGCTTATTTTAAATATATATATTACTGCGCTTGTCAATTACTTGATTATATACTAGGAAACTGGAAACCATTAGAAGTCCGAAGGACTATATATCACTATATAATTAAAAATAATTTTACTATTAAATTTTTTTACTT